CTAAGGGTTTTATCAATTTATTTGCAGATGATTTGAAAGATGTAATGAATATTCAGCATAGCCAAGCAGGAGGTTTTCAAATCTAAATATGATTTGACTATGCTAGAAGTACTTATAGAAGAAGCGATCTAAAGGATGGAAACTAGAATAAAGATTATAGAGGGCTTTTTGTTTCTACTTAAAGGGCAAAAAAGCTTATTCTGGTAAATTTATTCCAGGAAGAGATAACTTTTTGCTTTTTTTTTAATGTCTGCTTAAGAAACCTTAGTTAAAAAGAAATACTTAGCTGAAAAATTTATGCAAACGAGAGGGAATTTCTTCCAAATATGAGCCTTTTTTGAAAAGATTATTCGACCTCTTCTTACCGGTTTTCTTAGAAAGTTTTATGAAGTGGGAGTTATTTTTTTAAAATCCTTCAAAAATGACAGATCTTAGCCGATTTCTAAAATGCAAAAATCACTGTTATTCAAAAAATTATTCAGAACGAAAAGCTAAGAAATTTGAGGGAAGTTCTTCAGAAGGAATTCAGAATTACAAGGGTATAACGAAGCTTTTACTAGGAAAGTTTGAAAACAAAGAATTGGTTGAGCGAGTGCTATGCGCAGAACGGCAGAAAATACTAAAGTTTCTCAATCAAACTTTAGAACTAAGAAAATTCTTCTCAATACTAGACAGGATATGCCCTAGATTAGTGGTAACATAAAGAAATGAAGAGGGATTATCAGTTTTAGTAATAGTTTAGCTTGAGAAACAGAGTTGTAGACCACAAACTTGGAAGCAAAAAGAACTGACTACTGAATTAAGAAAATAAACTAGCCCGAGAGAAGATATTTATGAAATATTTGAAGAATGGTGTGAGAAAGAAGCCAGAAGAGAGTTAATGAGTGTGATGTAACGAATCGCAGATTGAAATTAGAGAGCCTCGATATTGTCACAGGCAGCTCAGGAGCTTCTAAAAACTAGGGTAGCGAAATCCTCAATTGTTTTTGCGATGCATTTTAATAATGACCGTTCAACTATTATTAACGTTACTCAGGGAGGGAAGGACATCAGTATTCATGTTTTTTTTATATTGAAGAAGACGACGTGTCAGTATCGCAGAAACTGTTATTGTTGTAGATGCATTTTGTGTAAAGAGACGTTATGCACATAACAATTCTCAGGAGACGAGATATGGAATAATCGCAACAGAAGTAATCCAACTTGAGTAAAGCTTTTTAGAGGCTACAGGAGAGATTTGACTACCTAGGAAACAGTATTTGATATGGTTTACTCTTCGTCTCAGATAAGTAATCCAAACTTATGTTGAATTCAGACGCATATCTGTTCTTGGCTGTTTAGGTTAGAGTTGCGGGCTAGAAAAAACGAGCGAAGAACGCTGAAAGTGTATCGGACAGCGGTAGTGGGGAGTCATACACTTTTAATTAGTTGACAAAGAATTGGGGTTTAAAGTTATAGCCCCAGAGAATCCAAACATATTTTCATTTTGAATGGGGAAAACGATAGCGTGGGTTTCAGAAATTGTAGAAGATACGGTGGCATTTAGGGGAAGTTCAGCAAAAAAGACGACATTAAATGCACTACCATTATTAACAGCGCGAAGAAAAGAATCGGAGTTGACAGCGAGCTGTTATCGGGCAGGCATAAGTATTTCATAAGTTTAGAATATTTCTAGGAGCTTCTTTAAGATTTTTAGATCGTTCCACAGAATAGTGGCTACTTTAATATAAATGATAAATTTAACAGTTTCGTCACTGGCAGTTGTTTGTATTTAAATAGATAAAACTTTTTTTCATTAAAATAAAGCTTGTTTGTGGTCTCAGACTTAGAAAGACAAGCGCACAAATGAGTGAATTAAGCGCAGAGGAGTTTTAGACCATGGGAACAGATGAATCGGCGGTGAAAAAGCACCATAGTATGAAACATAAGATTTATACCCGGGAGGCAGCAAGTTAGATGCGCCGGTGGCACACCTAGTTTCACGCTGAGTAGTAATTATACGTTTTTTCAGAAGATTAAGCATGTTACAAAAATAGCTGGAACAGAGCTAGACCATTTCGAAAAGGATGTAAAGTAACGGATGGTCAGTTGAGTGACGGGGTAATTATAAAGGTTAATGAATTCTGAGGAGGTAGCGCAGTTTGTTGCGTACCTCACGCAGGTATTTGTAAAGTTAACCAAAGTAAGTGTAGAAATCAGAGTGGTTTAAAATATCTCAGCAAAAATTTTTGAGTTATTGGGAGGTCTGAATGCCGCAGTACTGAAAGGATTTACTGCTTTGCTTAATTTGACTGCTATTCAACTTTGAGATAGGATCTGTCTCTACTTGATAATTGTTGAAATCAAAACCATATTTTCAGGTCTTTTAGGACTCTGTGAAACAAGAGTAGAACATGGTTCTTGTAGGTTGAGTACTTTAAAAGGCTCAATTCAGTAATGATTTGTTACTAAAAATTTTATCTTTTTTCTTCGTAATAATAGATCCTGGATTTATCAAGATTAAGGTTTTTAATTTTTGAAACCATAATGGTGCATCTTTTATCCTCGAGCACATTTTTGACGGTCCACGGACAATCGTCTTTCAGCTCATACATTTTATTCCTAACTTTACTTCAATTCTCGCCTTCAGTTCAGACGGCCATGAGCTGAACGACCGATCTGGTTTACTACCGACGTAAGGAATTAGCTAATCTAGAAAGATATAAAAAACAGTTTCCATCCTGTGACTTCTTTGAGAGATCTCATAAGTCTCAAAGAAAAACAACGGTTCTTTTTACCAGTTGTCATTGCGCTTCCAGAGTGCTCCCCGAGACCATGTCGGTAGCACTTGCTAAAGATTAGAGTAATCATCTACCGAAAAGGTGAACAATGACTGAGCTTTTAATGAACAACTTTGATGGAGAGGGTCTGCCAGTCAGATCGGCTTTCAGCAGTTGAAATATAATAAAACGGTCACTAACTTGTCTGTAGCCACTGGAGTCAGATGACTGGAATCGAAGTTGTGTGGTCACTGTTATGTAAATTTTTTCTTCCCAACGTCTCATGCTACCGTACCTAGGATTTTGTTCTTGTCCTGTTATTATCTCTCCAACAATTACCACCGTCATCTTTTACACTGCATCGTTTTCCCACCTTATATATTTTTTCTCGCGCTTTTTTTGATACTGCTGTTGAAACGTTTCTACTCATTTGTCTTGCCAGTCACCTGGTATTCTAATTTTCGGTAAATGCTCAACACCCTTGTTCTTCTTCTTGCCTCCTTGTACTTCCATGCTGGATTGTTCAATCGCTTCGTACTGCCTTGAGCTATTTTCACACAACTTTTCAGTACGTCCAACAGGCACTCCGCTGGTCAGTGTGACCGTTAACAACATGGGTACCTCATATCTGCCACTATTGAGGCACTTCTACTTCTTATTAAACTACTGGGAATGTGGCAATTTTTTTTTTTTTTTAATATTCAGACTATGTGAAGCAGGATATC